TCTTAATGAAATATAATTCAAGACAGGTGAGGGAAGGAAACAACACAAGAGAAAACTATGTAATTTTTTATTATTGCATTTTTCGAAATTACACATCTAACTGAGTTCGATAGTACACATTTTCACCTACCGTCCTTATGTAAAATTCTCCGCTACTCCCACTACAGACTTACAAAATCGTAAAAAACGTTTAGTCCTATCAGTTCATAGCTCTTTATTACCGCTTTAGAACAAAAAAAGATCACCTTTCTATCTGCTCAAATAACAGAGAAAACTTAAAAAAATTATCACATTTTCACTCATTAACCTTTCTTCTACCTATTCACCTTCTCCCCTTTTTCTTTTTCCTTTTACTCTCTTTTCTTCCATGGCCTAGGGCCATGGAAGGTGCAATCCTGTTGGTCCACGGGCGCCATTTTATTTCACGCCTACCCGCCAACTAGTGGTGAGGGCATTCCCCAATCCACCACCCGGGGACGCGCCGTGTCGGGGTTAAGGTGTCCCCTGCTGGGTCCCCCGTCATGGGGTACGCGGAACCCAGCGTCACGGGTCTGGGTAGGGTAGGTAGGGTCTGGAAAAGTAATTCTTATAGTTCCAAAAGTTTGATCCACTGTTCTTCGGGCATAATATCCTAATGTGTTTCCCATCAATTGCGCCAATGCAATTGGAGAAGTTCCATCGGGTGTAACATTTATCAGCAATTGTTTCGAGATCAGGCATAGTTGGCTGTGGCAAGAACAAAGGTACTAAAGCATTACGTAATGCTTCAAGTACTTCCCTTACAATAATACTGATGTATCCATATGATATCCGAAAAGCAAAAGCTAATGATCTAAATGTTTCTCCGGTAGCTAGGAATCTAAAATAGAAAAAAATATTTCAGCTGAAGATTGCAAGAAAAGATGGCGAAATATTAAGGACACATATATGAAAATAAGGCGTACTACTAATCCTACTGGTTCAGCTGCAACACCTAAATCTAAGTGGCCATTATTATCAAAAATGTCTTTTATGGACAATACGCCTTACCAAAGAAGGTAAGGCTGTGTGTCTATTTTACATATTAAAAGTAATATATACCGTTTTTGTTTACAGTACTCAAAGTAATTTGCAATCGTAAGAAACTGCCCTTGATTCTGATGTGCCAGAAGACATCTCAGAATCTGAAAATAATATTCCCTTTAACCCGCCTGTTGGGATTTCTTAGTTAAAAAACAAAAGTGCGTGGCACCCTTTATTTGTGGTTCGTGTGTGGGCAAACAGATGGCGCGAGGTGTGCATAAGTGTGTGAAAAGGGAGAACGAACATGAAAAGAGGAGTGTGTTACAGTCCACTATAGAGCACACATGTATTTTGCAAAACGTTGTAAAGTAAAAAATAAAGCATTATACCAGCCCAATTTTCAAGTGTCATTAATTTCAAAACACCGCCTACAGGCATCACATCTGCACTCCATGATACATAAATAACTTATTCTAAGTCACAGAAAACACCCTCTTCGACGACTGGGAAGAGAAGGAGGGATGACAATACACAAATATTGGAAATAATAAAGCAAAGATCCGCGGATAGAGAAAAGATAATGGAAAATATAAAAAGCTCTAAATCGGAGGCTGTAGATCAGGATCCGGTATTATTATTTTTCAAAAGCATGGCAATTACTGTAAATACTTTTGAACCGGAATTAATAGCAGAAGCAAAAGCTCGCATTTTTGGTATTGTGAACGAATTGGAAATTAGATCCATTCGCACAAAAAAACCTAGGACTGATCCAACCCCCCCAGATAATCTTTGGCGTCCAGAAACATCTACATCTGACACACAAAGCAATGTAGGAACATATTACTCATACTTCTCTCCTCTTACTGACGGTGAACTTACTCAACTTTAATATAACCGATAATTGCCGATTTCTTGCATTATAAAATAAAAGAGATAAATAAATTACCTTAAAGTTAAACTAAGTTTTTCTTCTACTGTAATTGGGTAAGTTACTCTATTACATGAAGTTTTCGTAATGCTGGCAGCAATAAGTTCAAGAACAAAGTTGTACTGTGTCTTGCTCAAACGAAAAAACTGCTTAAATGTTTCATCATCATTGAGTAGATGATTTGTAACAAGCACCTTTGAAAAACCTTCACTGCGTCGTTCTTTATATAAATTTCTTATCATATTTCTCTTTTTTCTTGACATTAATAATAATAACATCGTGCTCTTCTAAAACTAAGAATGACAGCAATTTACTCATTTCCAATAGGTACGTACCTATTCCCCATGAATCGCGATGTATACTGACGTGTGACGACGTGACGTACATGTTGACTGCATGTTGGAAAACATCTGAAATTATAATCGTGGCGTTCAGACCCCGCATGCGTCAATCGCAATCGCAGACGCTGCTAGGAAATTCCACCTTTAAACCCTTTTTCTATTAACCATTCTTCTATAAATAAATCTTCCTCTCTCGTTCGTGACCTTCCCCTCCCCCTCATACCACATTTTTTGCGTTGTCGCCCGCTATAATGATTCCTTCCTCCAACTCGTCCCATTTGTCAGCCCATTCTACAAATTTGCTCTCTCTCCATCTATCCCTATTGACCTCCGGTTCGTCGTACATGTTAATAACATTTATTTTTGAGCTCCCTTCTATCTTTATGGCCACCATATTCTCTGTACAAAACTCTTTAATTGACCAGACCTTTTCGAATCCTACCTTAACCATGGTCAGGGCTTTATTCGCCCTTTCGCCAAATCTTTTATACCCCTGCGGTACTACGTATTTTCCATAAGGCTCCTGCACAAGGACCACATCCGGCTGTTCCACCCTTATCTTTTAATTCAAAAGAATGCCTGCCTCCCTCCCCCTACCCAGGTTTATTTGCAGAACCTTAACTGTCATAATTTACATATTTTCTCGCCGTTTCTATATTCTCTTTGAAGACAGGACATCCCATGTCTCTCGCGCCGTGCCCTTCCACTCTCCACCTTCTCATACAATTTACACACTCTTTTTTGTTGATCGCATTCTCAGCCCTCATGCCTACATCCGCAATCGTAACATGCTGGTTCCTCCTTACATCCTCCCGATACATGTCCGAACTTGCAGCATCTGTAACACAACCTACTCCCTATAAATTCCTCTACATACAGACTACATACCTTACGCTTATTCTACCTCTCTTAATCATTGTCTTAAACTCATTCGACGGCAACATGTTCCTTTTCCATGGGTTTTTGCATAGTTGTTTTCTTACCACTCTAATCTCCGCTTCTTTCAATTCCTCGTTTTCCCTTTTAATCGTTTCTATCAGTTCCTCTTATTAAATTAAGAGCATAGGACTCCCATTCCCTACTCTTCTAATATCCATTCCCTCCATTTTTTTCATTTCTTGTTCGATTCTCCTTCTTTGGACCTCATCCTTTGGCACTATTCTTAGTTTCCCATCCTTTAGTATTCTCACTGCCCTAGGCGCCCCACTCTTGTTTTCAAGATTTACATTTTTGGCAATATTTTCTGCCGTTCAACTCATTCTCCCTTGACACGATAAGATCGTTTGCCCTAGGAGGGGTGGTCCATCCCTCCCCTCCCTGCACAACATTTCCCGCCATTCCTACATCCCTCACATATCCTCCTCTACCTCTCGTACCTCTATTTATACCCCTTCCTCTCCCCCTGCCACGCATTCTTATCACCTGCGAGTACATCCCCTCTTGCCTTTCGCTCTCGTCATTCTCATACTCATTATCATTCATACATACTTCACTCACCTGTTCCCTTTCCTCTGGAGCCGGCGGGTTTACAGCCATTTCCAACCTTAACCTATCCTCGAAATTCTCCTTTAGCTTATTTAGTTCGCCTTCCAAAAAAGCACACCTTTCCAATTTTACGTTCTTCTCCATTTCCTCCTTTTCCCTTTCCGTTATCAGAACCTTCTTTTGTAGGTCCCCGTTTTCCTCCTGAAGCTTGACCTGTTTTGTCAAGAAACCACACAACGCAACGTGGACCTCCATTGCCGCCGCCTTTACGCTTGATTGGTCACCTTTGGTGACCTGAACCTTATTGCCGGTTTCCCTAGACACTGCTGCCACTATTATTCTCAATTGTTTTAGCACTTCCTCCACGTAGTCTTCGATCTTGTCCTTTTTCTTAGCCTCTTCTCCCTGTTGACTTCTTCCAGCTTTCTTCTTTCTCTTTCCTCTTCTTTTCTCTTTTCTTTATCTTTCTTGTCTTTTTGTTCCTTCTTTTTGTCTTCTTTTTCTTTCTTTTTGATTTCATCTTTTATCGCCTCTTCTTCTTCCCTTTCTCTAGCTTTAATTTTTCTTGCCTCTTCTGTTCTTTGTTTACATTCTCTATAGCCCTCTCTCATATGCCTATCCTTTTTACCTCAAATTCTACAATCTTCTCCTCCCTATCTATATTTCCACCTGCATTTTCCATTTCATATTCACTTTCATCATCGCTAGCATCCCAAAACTTTGAATGTCCTCCTCTAAACCATTCCGCATTTCCGATCTCTTCACCTCGCTTCACACTCCCAGCCTCTGCATTTTCCATTTCACTATCCATTCTTAGATCCATCCTTTTTGCTCTTCCCGCTTTTGTCTTTGTCTATTTCGTCTCTTCCCTCGCACTACAAAAACTGTCTTTTTCTTTGTCTCTTAGTCTTTATCTTGCCTTGCTTTAAAAATTCACTCCACAGTTCGATTCGAAAGTTAGTAGAATATTGTCCTTTCAAATTTTAGCTCAGCCCTCCCACCTTTTGGCCTTGGGCTCACTCTCTTCGAACCACCTACCCAGCGAAACCATTCTCAAGGGAACCCACCACCTTCCACACTCCTAAAATTAGCGGGAAAACCTCCCTCTTTATTTACATTCCCTTAATTCTATAACCAAACATTCTCTTAATTGACAAACAACTTAACCTAACATTTTATCTTAATATCTAATCTTACTTAAATTAACATATTTACATCTTTACATCTCTCTTTACACTCTCGCCCTATCTCCTCAGTCCAGTTGGTAAGATTCCGGACCATTTGTTCACTTCTCTCCCGTTCCAGAGGTGGGCAATTTCCATACTCTCCCCTGAACCTCTCTCTCTCTCTCTAACACACACTCCCATTCTACATTCATTTACCAGGTGCCTCGCACTCTCCTCACCCTCTCCACGTTCGCATTCAACCTCACCATCCCTCCTACCAAATCTCCTCAGGCTGACCGCGAGGTTACCATGTCCTGTCAACTGTTGAGTCAACTTGTACGTCGTTCGGATTATCCCCCGCCCAACCTGAGGGATCCATTCGTACGTCCACCTCCCCGTCGTTCCTTGATCCCATTCTATCTGCCATCTCGATATCTCCTCTCTTTCTATCCATTTCCTCATCTCTTTCTTCCTCGCAACATTCACTTCCAATCTCTCCCCTCCTTCTCTTATCTTCCTCTTTACTATCTCTTCTGCTCTCTTGTTCCCTGCACTTCCTCTCCTTTGCCATTTTACCATCGTTCTCACCCCTTCTCCCAGACTCTCTACCAATTCTCTTTGTATACTATTAATCCCTTTCCTTCTGGGCAGCGAGGTCCCGAGCATCCTCACAGTCTCCCTCGAATCCGTAAATACCCAGACCTCCCCGCCCAGTCTCACTAATTCTGTACCCCATCTCACCCCTTCTAATACTGCCAACTCTTCCAACTCACCCCTACATTCCCTGTCACCACTCTCGCTCTTTCTATCCACTCCTTCCTTCAACATCACACACCCGTATCCTTTTCTCTCTTCATCCCTCATCACTTCATCAACCCAAATCCTTATTTTCTTCTCATTCCCGACCTGTCCGGTTTCTTCCATGTTCCATCCCCTATACGCCGGATGTGGCCTCTCTCCAAGAACCACCCTCTTTCTCCACATTCTATCTCCCTCATACTTTACTCTCGCTCTTACCTCCAACGGCACGTACCTGGCCAGCACCGACAGCGCAGCCGTCGGCGCCGTCGCATACGCCACCATAATGGCCCTCAAGAAAGGCCTTTCCGTCGCCCTCAACTGCTTCCTAACTCTCACGTCCTCTGCTCTCGCTCCCCAGATTCCAGCTCCATACATAACCATCATACACACCGCTCCTTCGTACATGCACTTCAACACCGCCCATTTCTTTCCCCACCTTCTTCTGGCTAGAGCCATAAACTTCCCACCTATGCTGCTTGCTTTCCTCCTCACCTCTTTCACATGCTCTATCCACAACCCCTTCTTATCCAACACCATGCCTAAATACTTCACCCTATCTCCGCACTCCCTCCTCATCTCTCCCATTCTCACTACCGGCGCTCTCACTCTCCCTTTCGCCTCCACAAACATCACCTCCGTTTTTTCCTTATTATACCTCAACTTATTCCTACTCGCCCACTCTTCACACTTCTCCCAAACATTCTCCCACACTCTCTCCACTCTCCTCGCAGACGCACCCGTCACCACCAAGATTTGATCGTCCGCGTACGCCTGCGCAGTCACTCCCATCCCTTTCACTTCATCCATACTCATAAACCAATCTTCCATCACCATTAACCACAGGGTCGGGCCTAGGCTCGATCCCTGCGGACATCCCTTCTCCATCCTCCACTCACTCCCTTTCACCTCAATCTCTTGTTACGTTGCACTTTTATCTTACTCATTTTTTTTTTTCTTTTCTAATCGTATTTTAAAGTAAATATAAATAATTACAATTCTAGTTAATTAATTCAGTTCATTAGCTCAGAGCGTTTAATAAAAAGAAAATTTTATTAAAAATGTAACGTGAATGCTTCTGCTTCCGCATACGCTGTCCCCGCGTTAG